CTCTGAAGAAGCAAGCTCTTTAGAAATGAAGTTCTTAAGGAAAAAGAACGTAGGACATCCTGTCTAGTGGAAAGAGATAGGTGAAGGCATGAATCTTGGCCCCTCCCACACAACCACCACAACAGCTATGTAAATTCAGCCAAGTTTTGTGACAGTTCTGTCAGCTTTCATTATTTTCTCTATGAAAATTGGGGCTATATTAATTTTTCACAGGTACCATGAGCACTAAATGAGATCATGTGGTAAGCACTTGATAAACAATATTACCCTATACTTAATATTGTCTTTGTTACCGTAAGTAACAAAACAGATATGTTAAGAACTCTATAGACTCTATATCAGATTCCACAATATCCAACATTTAAACATCTACATTTTAAGACTTTCAGTGTGCAGGGAGCAGTATGTAAGAATTTGAGTTTTGACCCATTGATTTATTTTATTTATCTTTGGGATTATTTTAACTCTCACTCGCTAAAGAATAGTTCAGAGGTGCAGTTATGTTTTTGATCTTCAGTTTATTTTTGTATTTTTAGAACATTGATTATGGAATGTGAAAGGGGTAATGAATAAAGGATGGCCTTTATGTTGAGAATTTTCTTTTGTTTCCGCTTACAGGTTTGGAGCTTCAGCACAAACTCCTGTAAACTTAGAAGAAGATGAGCTAGCTGCTCTGGGTCCAACTCTTACTCCCTGCATCAGCAAACAGGCTCAGATACACCTGGAACAAATTCCCAGAGTACCACCATTGTGCGGCAAAGCTCATCCAAGTTTGGTCTCCCTGTAGGGAGACCATGGGGACAAAAGATTGGAAAGCCTGCACAGGGGGAGAAGTGACTTACTCCCCCTTCCCTGCCCTGAGCAATGACAAGCACCAGTGCTTCCTTAATTTAACCTTTTTGTCTACTCAGGAAAAAGAAAGAACACTCCACTTTATGCAAAAGACGCAACCTAATGAAAGAACGCATTTAAAGGAGCGTGCTTTAAGCTTTATTGCTATAAATCATTTTGCTTGCAGCTGCAAAGCTAATTGTTCTTAAAGCTAACAAGGATTATCTCTGGTAAGCCAGGTTTGCTATTTTAAAACCAGAAGAAAGAAAAGCAGAAGGGGAAACTGTGTCCAGAAAATTGTATGATTTCTTTAGTGGGGGAATTACATAAGGGGGATGAATTTAAACTTTTTTCTTCTTGTTTCAATTTTGGTAATACCATACAATATAGTGTTAATCTGATTATTCTTACTTTCCTAAGAGAATGACAAATAAAACTCTAAGGAATCTTTCTCCTTCTCTCCTCTACCCCTTCACTCATATTTCTAAGTTTCCTTTTCTACCTCTATTCTGCATTCAAAATTGCTTTTTCTTTTCCTCCTGAGTGAAACCATAAATTTAAGGTGGAGGAGTAGAAAAATAAGGAGGAGTTTAAACAGCTTTACATAAAAAGGTTGTTTGCCATGTCTAATCCAAAATCAGCTTACAATGTAAGCTTGTTTCTTAAAATACAATGTACAGTGAAGCAGATCATGAAATTCGTTTCTCAGATTCTTTTTCTTCAGAACAAATAACCTCAGTTCTATTATTTCTCCCAGCTCATTGTGCTGTATTATTTTAAAATTCTCATAGTCATTCTTCAATTGTTTGGGACTGAACTCTACCCAGAGAGCTGAAACAAGGGCTGGGTCTGTCTTGAGTGGAGTGAGGAGACTAGATCTCCCACATAGCACGCTTCTTCAGTCACACGTTTGTGCAACAGAAAATCACAATCAACTTATGACCCTTGGGACATCACTGACATCACTATGCAATATCATTCTGATCTGACTCTTCTACCTTTCAAGGAGGATGGCAAATAAACTTGGAATATACAGTTGGTGGTGTTGTGAACAGTGACCTTTGACACTATCGAGCAATACTATGAGTCACACTTCGGTGTGGGCACTTTCTATACACCAGCTCATTTAAGATTCAAAATAAATCTGCTGGGTTGGTGTTATTATTTTCATTATATTGGAAAGGAAATTAAAACTCTGAGACATAAGTATCAGAGCTAAGGTTTCAACTCGTATCTCAGTTATAAAACTCTTAGTCTTTCCAATTTACTTCAGTAGACACTTGAAAATGTGAAAGGAAAAACAAAATATGGACACACCTTGTTTTATTATAATAAAGCTCTAGTATAAATCTAGACTCACCAACTATCATAAATACACAGCCTCACTAAAAATGGACACTCATCTACGGAAGTAGTCAGTTATCTGAAGAAAACTTGAGAGAAATTGTCTCCACAGGGCCAAATAAATAATTTCACATGAGGCTGAACTCTATTGTTTCATTACTTATTTAAATAGAAAACATTTCCTTGCCAGTATTTCAGATTAATTATTTCCTTCGTTTCTTACCAGTACTTTAGACCAGAAATCCTTAGAGATATAAACAGGAAAGAATAAAAGCTGTGAGGGGAAAGGAATATTTTACTTGTGAGACGAGGCTTTAAAGTTAATGCAATCTTAAGACACAGTCGCCATCTATGTTTGGAACTTCAAGGGAAAAACAGCTTTGAAGTCTATGGCAAGGCTTCATATTCAAAGAAGAAATCTTGTTCGCTTTCCTACCACAAATTGTATTTTTCCAAACCTTACTAGTTTCCCTGAATTAAGGTACAGATACTACTGCTATTGCTCTAAATTTGTTCATCTCTTTGTAATAGATTAAAGGTTTACTTCAAGATATAAGAGATTAATAAACTGTGCTACTGGGTTTGTTTCTTAAAGATACAAAGCTAAATGCAGAGTTGTCAACTCTTTGGATAATCTAAGCTATAAAATAACTCATCTTGATGAAAGGTATTTTAGTATATTTTTCTCTTTTTGGATTGAGCTATTCAGCTAGTCCATGTGAATTAAATTATCCGAACATTGGCAAACTATATTTCATTTTGTCAACAAAGGTGATCCTGAGAATCTAAAGCATCTACATGCTGTTATCTCTGAAACTGAAGAATTTCAGGTAATAATAATAATAATAATAATAATAATAATAATAAGGATTGTATGTCTTCTGTTAGAATGGCAGCTATCCACTTCTCATATAACCTAACGGTCATCCAAAATGTTTTATACAATTATGTATTTAAATATATGGTCTCTCATGCTATGGATCATACTTACTGTAGAAATGGACTCTCTCCCCATACAACATTGTGAAAACTCAGATTGGCAGCTTAGTTTTGCTAAAAGATTGACTGATTCATTTGATTCTCTAGTGACCAAGAGTTGGGGGATTTTTTCTTTCCCCTTTCCTTGGGGAAAAAAAAAATCTAACTTATTGACGTGTAAAACATTTCACTTTAGGAGGTAAATTTTACAGGTGCAAGAATGATTTTAGTCTCGCACTTTTCAACCCGCGGAAAAAGTTCTGAAGTGTAGTAGAGAGGGAACATTTGGAAATTCCAAAGGTCTATTTGGTTGTGGCAAATTATGAATATTATTTCTATTTCCTTTGTTTCTTCTATTCAAACCTTTAAGGCACAAGTTAAAAACTGGTGGCCGGGGCTGAACCTGGGTGCAGAAATTCTCAACATCACCACTATCTTTTCTTGTCTAGCCTCTTCATGAAATTAAATTATCTTTCTGGCCTCTGAAGAGTTTAGAACCTGGACCCCTGCTTAAATTCATGTCTCAAGTCTGAATTCTTTTAGGTAAAGGAATAAACGATGTAATTGTGACCTGTTATTAATAGTATTCAGGTGTTTAGCACAATGCCTGGAATATAGTTATTACTCAATAAATTGTAGCGTAATATCACAATATCTTTTATGAATTTAAGAAGTTATCTTGTTCTAGTCTTTTGATACAATGATTTGACACACCTCCCTATTTAATCATATAGATAAAATAGCAGCATTAACAGTTAATTTTATCTCTATAATTTTGCATACAATTTCTTTGTGCCCATATCTATCCAGAATAACACTTATGAAATCAAGAGGGTCAAATCTCTTTTTTGGTCAACGTCAACTTCAGAGAAACCAATTATTTATTTATCAGATTTGGACAGTAGAATAAGTAAATAGGAAATGCTGACTTTAAAATTCTAGTTTATGTAGATATGGCTACTTCTAAAAAATCTCTTTGTCATTCAGAATTGAAGCCCCTGTATACATTTAATTATACAATAAAACTCTTTATAAGGTGCCAATGTAGAAAAAAATAATGAGACAGTAAAAATGTCACGGGTATGCATTCAAATATTTTGTCTTCTGCAAATTTTCTTCCTAGCTCTTTTAATACATACATAGAACAGGTTACTGAGTCATCCAGGTGAAAATACACATGCAGCAAAAGAATTAGTCAATGTTTTATCAACCTCAAATAGAGGGGAAAGTAACTTTTCTCTTCCCTTCTTTCCTGTCATGCTCCTTAAGGGAGGACAAGTCATAGCAGGAGGTATAGAGAGCCTGTGGAATTGCTTCCTTCTCTTTCGTGGCTCTTCACTGTCTTTTCAGAGTACAGGTGCTCCATCATGGACTAAGCATATACCTCATTTCTGTGGGACATGACTAGGAGGTAAACGAAGAAGGTGGCAGCCTCGTCTCCAGTTCCACAAGAGAGAGAATATGAGCGAGCACATGGAATTGCTCAGATGCCCACAAGACCCAGACAGGGAAACGGAGCTTCCCAGGATGTCACGCCGTGTCTATAATGCACCTTCCCCCACTTCTCTTATTCTGCTCTACCAATCACTCTATTTTCCTCTCTGTTAGTATTCTCCCACTAACCAATTGAGTCTAAACGAAATGCAAACCTTAATGGCGTTGGAGGGCATACGTCATTTGTTTTTAACATCCCTTTCTTTCCATTTCTACTTTCTAGGAAAGGCCATTGAAAAAACCCTACATCGAATTCTTCCTCCTATCCCGTATGTTCCTGTCTCTACTTGATTCTACATATTAGAGAATGCCTACGTTTCATTTTTTAAGAAAGAACATTTTCTTTAAATTACCTTGTCCAAAATAAGCTCCCTTATACACATTTCGAACACTTTGGTATCCCAAACTCCTACAGATGACCTGTCCAACGCGCAGTTCCCAGCGATCGTCACAAATTGTACCCCACTGGCCATCATGAAAAATCTCTACTCGGCCCTCCTGAGGGCCGCTACCACCAACCAGTCGAACTGTGTTAGATGGAGCTGTAACAAAAACAAACAGGGGTTAATTATATATATATAATACATATATATATAGAGAGAGTTTTATAATGCTTTTTAAAAAGCATTTTAGCACATTTTTCCAGTAAGCTCAACTACTAGAATAAATATTAAACTTTCTAGCACCACCTATTGGTAAAGAGTTTAATGGCAAACATTGCATTAGTCAAAGCTAAGGAGTAAAATGTATTCTCTCTGATTTAACATTTATATAAGTTACATATGCCAGCCCTGGCGGTGTAGTGGTTAAGATTTGGCACTCACACCACTGCGGCCTGGGTTCCTTTTCGATCAGGACACCACACTCCCTGTCTGTTGGTTGTCCTACTGTGGTGGCTGTGTGTTGCTGTGATTCTGAAAGCTATGCCACTGGTATTTTAAATAGCAACAGGATCACCCATGGTGGACAGGTTTCAGCAGAGCTTCCAGACTAAGACAGACTAAGAAGAAGGACCTGGCCACCCACTTCTGAAAAGGTGAGAGGATGGCACAAAAAGAAAGGATAGGTTTTCACTCTGCTGTACACAGGGTCACTAGGGGTTGGAATGGACTCCACAGCACTCACAATAAAGTTACATATATGAGAACACTTGAAAGACTATGTTCCAATAACTTTAAAATTCAACAGCTACAAGTTTGCTAATCTTATATAAATTTTTCATACCATTTAGAAAAATGTATAACAAAATGATTCATTATTTTCTTGACAAACTAACACACAAACTGGAACACACAATCCAGTGACTTTCAATGATATAGAAGGTTGAGATGGAGATACGTTATATCATAAACACAAAAATAGATGACTAAACATCCTATCTTTTACCAAGAGAAACAAGATAGCTAGAGTAACAACATTCATTTAGAAATAGCATGGGTATTCCTTGTTATAAGGCCCCTGGATTTTGTCCCAATAATGAGACAAAAATCAGACAATTTTTGTGTATTTTGAGAAATCACTAAAGCAGTAAACTTTGTGGAGAAATATACTATGTTTATAATTATAAAAGTAATTTTTTTCTGCAATGTCTAAGTAATCAAAATTGCCATATACAGGATAAATTTTTATAAAATCTTGATCATATGCAGAGATTTACACAAATATGGAATGGCTCTTTCCTATTTTTAAAAACAAACATACACATGTTGAACCTAGGGACAGATAAATAAGGTGTGTAATTAACATTACAAAAACAATTCACTTGGAATATTAATATTTCTTTAAAGAGACTGTACTAGTATTTGTTTAAAAATCATTTGACTGAAGAACAGAATGAAAGACAGAGACAGAAAATATTTTCTAAAATTTAGTTAGTGCTAAATGAAACAACAATATTCTCTAATAATCATAAAGCCAATGAATAAATACAGTTCTATTTAAATATATCTTTTCCAATATAAGTTTGAGAAACACTGTACTATAAAAAAGCAAGATATAATTATCACAACAAAAATATCTCTCTAATATGAAAATGGAACTTTAGGGAATAGGGTTTCATAGCTCAATTACTTGAAGAAATATTCAGTAACTTTTTTTTTCCTAATTGGAGTAAATTTTGTTGAAACAGTAATCCAATAACATGTAAAGAAAATCAACCATTTTCTATAATAAAACTGACTCAGCCACTCAGAGACATAAAAAGCTAACATGTTAATATGTAGTATTACAATTATAATTATTTTCTTGATTCTTTCGAAATATAATTCAGTGCTAAACACTGAATTAATGTAATCATGCCCAAGTGCATAAGCCATCCCTCACTTAATGAACATGAGTTAAAAACATTTTACGAAGGAAAATAATTTGGTATTACAGTATTCAAACTTTCAATTACCAAATAAAATACCTAGGTGACCCAGTCATTCACTGTAATTGCCTAAGAAAATAGGAAAGGATAATCAAGGAATGGATTGTGTAAAGTCTTAAAATATTAGAGTTATGTAGTATTAACCAGTGTCACTTCCAAATGTTTATTTTTATAGAAGTCAAATATATTCAAGCATAACATATTTATCATGATGTTATAACAAAACAGACACCATATTCAAACATTTGGTTATATGAGCTTGATTGTCTTATTGCCCAAATAAGTGTAGGAAAGTGTTCTCACTGTGCATTCTTCACCTCTTACCCCTCCCAAAATGTCATTCAAGAGCCTTGCTTGTCCTGGAGCAGTGGTTCTCAAACTTTAGTGTGTGTCTTAGTCAGCTTGTGCTGCTATAACAGAATACCATAGACTGAGTGGCTTAAACAACAGACATTTATTTCTCACAGTTCTAGAGGCTGGGAAGTCCAAGATCAAGGTGCCAGCAGATTCAGTGTCTGGTATGGACAGCTTCATGGCTGATAGACAGTTGCCTTCTCCCTGTGTGCTCACACGGCCTTTCCTCAGCATATGCCGGTGGAAAGGGAGAGAGAGAACACGCTCTCTGGTCTCTTCTAATAAGGGTACTACTCCCCTCATGAGGACCCCACCCTCAGGACCTCATCCAAACCTAATTACCTCCCAAAGAGCACACCTCCAAATACCAGCACATTGCTGTTTAGGGCTTGAACATATAAATTTGGGGTGGGGGCACACAATTCGATCCATAGCAGTCTGCACCGAAATCACAGATTGTTGGTTCCACACCCAGAGTTTCTGGTTTAGTAGGTACAAGAATTTGTACCGTTAACAAGTTCCCAGCTGATGCTGATGCTTTCATACAATCCTTTGGCCTCATTTATTCCAAAAAGAATGGCTGCAGATTTCTTCCAAATCCCCTATGTTTGTGGGACTTTGAGGGGGAGTTAGTCCCTCTATTTGAATTCTTTAAGGCCGAAAAGTTTGGGCATGCCTATGCCTGTCACCTAAATATTTTCAATTCTAAATCAGCTATTGACAGGTGACCACACTTTGCTGATCTTTGACCATCTGAACCAATATAGAGGGAAGAGACAGGTGAACAGACTCATTCAAGTGGCGGCATCACGCATTCACTTCCGTTTGGGTGACGGAGAAAAGTTCATTTTGTCGTTTTGAACAGCCTCAATGACAGCATTTTCTCTGTAAGACTGCAGGTCAGAAATTTCTCTAAACTTAGCCAACTCATTATATGGATGTAGATAATGCCCATGGTTTCTTTGGCATCAAGTTAACATGTTTAGTCAGATAGATTTTCATCCATTGCAGAATTTTTGTCTTGTACCTAAAGATCAGAAGAGAGTAATATTTGTATATTTTTTTTTCTGGGTAGCAGTCTTAATTTTCTTCTTAACTTTAATAATGTAGACTTTTTCCAGATTCAAATCAGATAAACACAGATAGATATTAACTATGTGCCCATTGAATGGTTCTCTGTATTAGTTCTTACATTGCCATTGGCTAAAAACAGAAACACAAACCAAAATGGAAATGATAATATATGTTAAGGACCACAGGATTCCCTGTGGAACCCGGGGATAAGATTATATTTAGGCATCTAAAACAGCTGAACCAAGACTCGGATCTGCTCAGAACTCTTCTCTCCAACTTTTATCCAAGAGTCTCTGTAAGTCGCTTCATTCTTCTCTTTTGTTGCGAGCTGGGTATCTTTGTTCCCCAATCGACATGACAGAACACGTCTGTTAACACCTCCTAAGTTTATATTTTACAGTCTCTTTCTCAATGGTAGTTCTAAAATACCTGGGGAATTCCTCCCATGGCCTAGTTTGGGCCAGATGTCCATTTATGGACTAAACAGTTTGGCTCAAAGACAGTGTCTCTTGCAATAACTTAGCATTCCTGGAGGAAGGGTGGGGAGGCATTTCCTTGTTGAAGGTGAGTTTTGAGTAAAGACATTAAGTCCAGTTCATAAAACACATTTTAATAATCTTGGTGCATTTATGAATATTAGTTATATATATGTTCAATCGTGTGTTCTTTTTCATATCTGTGACCATAGAGTGTAACAGAAATTAAAAATCCAGTTGTCAGATAATCCGGATTTTCGTTCTGCCTCTGATACTGTTTATGCGACCTTAATAAACCATTTAACCTCTCTAGAACCAAACTTTCCAACTGTTAAAAAGAGAAAATGATATTTTCTCTCAGTTAAATGCATCTAAACACAACTTCTCTGTGCCAGCATTTTCCTCAGTTACAGGAATTATTTGAATAAAACGCATATCCTGCCTTCAAGAATCATGTATTTTTTTAGGTTATTGTGAAGGTTCAAGAAATAGTTCATTCTTAAAATGGGGTACAAACATGAAGTTTTTATTCTTATAAGTTTTGAAAATTTTGAGGTTTACATTTTGTGATGAAAGCTTTAGAATGAATATATTATCTGTGATATTGATCACCTTGTTCACTAAATTTTTTTTTGCTAATTCCCTATTTAATGCTTATCCTTCTCAAAGAGCAGTTTGTAACCAACCAGGATAAGCTTCTGCAGGTAGACAAAACCTACCCATGGTTTAAGATGTAGGTTTATTTGACCTTTGTTATTTCCAATCATGATATTATGAAGAGACCCTTGTAGACCAGTAATGAGTAAACTGTGGCCTGTGGGCCAATTCCAGCCAGCTGCCTGTTTTGTAAATAGTTTTAGTGGAATGCACATTAGTTTACATATTGTCTAGGGCTGCTTTAAGGTTACAACAGCGGAGGTGAATAGTGTGACACAGACCTTCTGACAAGCAAACCCAAAATATTTTACTCTCTGGCCCTGTACAAAAAAAGCTTGCCAACACCTGGTATAGTTGAAAACACAGTAGGCTAGAATGATAGAGGATTTCGGTAGGTACCGCTGCCAAGTGACCCCTGGAACAAATAAGGTCACAATTAATCTCTGCTTACCTCTCTAGTCTAACCCTTTTAGAATCTCTCTGCCCCTGCACGCCTTCTCTTTTTACTTCAGTTATATAATTACTCACATTTCCCAAATGATCCTCATTCTCCTTTATTTCTGGGGCTTTGGTCTCTGTCTGGAATGCTTCCTTAATCCCCTGCACCCTCCTG